TTAAATTTCTATGTTTTCATTATATTTATTCAGAATCAACGTTTGCATTGTATTTCAGAAGGTAGAAGAGGATGGGGGCAAGAAGAGGTATCAAGCGGTAGGTGGTGAATTGATAAAAATTTAAGGATATTCAAAATTATTAAAAGAAAACACACAAAAAAGAATACTTCAGCTTCCTTTTCATACTGATTTTTAAAAATCAGGCTAATATTTGCTTGCCTAAAACCATAATTACTTTTTTAACATAGTGAAAGAACAGAGGACTTCAATTATTTCTTTAGAAAACTTGCTAATTCAGTAGGGAGAGCTAGCCGTACGTTAAAAGTCATTCAAACAAAGCTCCATGAGACTCAAATTAAAGAGTACTGAAGAGGGGCGAAAAATACTACAACACATAAAGGTCTCAGCTCTCATCAGTCTCTCACGCTCTTTAACTCACCAGGGGACAGTAACTGCAGTTCTCAAAGAGGGTCTATGTTCCCAGATGTTGAAGCTGGATTCATTGTGAATGCTTATCCCCCCTTCCTTCTCCACTTTGGGTCACTCTCTCCCGGCCTCTTAGAACATTCTCTCAATGTGATTTTTGTTGGACAAATGGTCTCATGTTTCTGGGAATTGGAAATGGATAGCATGAACACACAGCTCTGTGCCTCCAGACTCCAGCTGATTTATGCTCTGATCCTCACCCTCGCAGGCAAGGTAGTCTGTGGGCACCGTGAGCACCCTGCGTTCCGTGGTTGTGGCTCTGACTGTCGGCCTTCCCACCATAAACTTCTGTTTTTAGACGTTTATGACTCTGCTATAAAATGCTGCCTGGAGAGGAGTGGATCTTACAAAACCTTTTTAAGAGACTAAGAGAGGGCGAGAGAAAAAAAAAAAAAAAAGAAAAAACACCGACAAAAAATAAAATAAACTGTCTGTAATTTCAGACACTATCTAGTGCTTCTGGAACTTTGAAAAGCCTGTAATTGCGCTGTCCTGTGCACCCTACTGGCATTCAAATCAACGCTTTGAAGTTCAGCATTTTAAATATAAAATGAAGATTCTACTTTTACTTTGAAGCGATGGTTATCAAAGACGATTAATGTACAGTTTGCAAGTAAAATAGTAAGCGGGGGGGGGGTTTCTTTCCTGACAGAGGAATTTTCAGATCCCCTGAACATGGATCAGGGACCACATCTGGTGGTTAAGAGTGACTATGGTAATACTCAAAGTGAAGCCTGCTGAGTTATTCAGGTTTCATGATTCAAGATAAGTCATAACTTCAAGAGATATGTACAAAACTTTACCAGGCACAATTACAGGCTGGCTGTTCTCTCAATCAAATAATAATATTATTTTAATAATGCCCGTGGCATTGTGAACTCTCAGAGGAAGAAACAATTTGTGAAGCAATAATAATAGAATGGCTGATGCTACCACCGTTTGCTCTAATGTTGCAGGACAGCCGACATCAGAACCTGCCTTACCGTTATCATCAAAGGCTGTCTTCCCGCATGTTGCTACAGTCAAAAAAATAACAAAGTGATTTCACTCATTCATCATCGAAAATTTACTGAAGGTCAATTACATGTCAGACAACATTCTAGGTTCTGGAACATATATGAAGAAGAACAAGGAACGGTCTCTACCCTTGAGAGACAGGAAGGGAGATCGAGTCATCATTAGTACATTTTGAGAAAGTGGTACGGTATGATAGAAGCACCAACAAAAATCAATTCTACCTAGAAAATTTAGAGATGGCTTTAGCACAGTGGTGCTCAAATTGTTTTCTGGATCAGCAGTGTCAGCATTACCTGCGAACTTGTTAGAAATGCAAATTATTGAGTCCAACCCCAGACCTACTGAATCAGAAACTCTAGGAGGGGGAACAGCAATAAGCATTTTTATAGGCCTTCCAGATAATTCTGAGAACCAGCCCTAATGCCCTAAGGCAATGGTTCTCAAACTTTAGAGATCAACAGAGTCTAAAGGGTTTGATAATACACAGATTCCTGGGCCCCATCCTCCAGATTGCCGATTCAGTACACCTGGGATGAGTCCCAATCACTTGCATTTCTAGCAAGTTCCCAGGTGATACTGACGCTGCTGATCTGGGAACTATCCTTTGAGGACCACTGCCCCAAGGCTGCCATTGCATGTAATCCATTAACTTCTCTCACTAGCTGTGTACCGTCCTTCAACGAATTGAGAAAACAGCAACTCAAATCATCTCCGTTTTGTGGTTCAGAGAAGAAAGTCGCATTGAGAAAGGCTGAGTGAAAAAAGGGAAGGGATGGTATTTGAAAGAGAAGGAAAGCACATGCCGTAAAGGTCTTAAGGTGTGAATGATCAACATGTTGGAGAGATCAAGAAGTAGGAATTTGGGCAGATCTACTTACTTATGGTAGAGCTAAAATTAAGTTAATAACTCTTGCCCCATGCAATTACATACATCATATGAGATCCTGCTCTTCATAACTTATGGTCTAAGATACATGGAGAATGAAATACTTATAGTGTATTGGTTTCTGGCTTCTTACACAGTTGAGATAGATTCTATTTCCGTCTCAATTTCTTAGGCATAAGAAATCATTGTCTTGACTTCAACTTACGATTTCCTGTTCCAACAATATAGCACTTTCTGAAATTAGAAAATATATGATTTCGAGTACCAAAACCTAAGTTTCAGTATTAGAATGTGACTGCCAATAGTTCATGTTCAAACCTCAAAGTTTGCTTTGAGTTTAGCCATTCAGGGATTTCATAGAATGGTAATAGTACAATTAACCAACCACCCAAAAATTCACCCCAAAATGAAATATGCAGACATGATCCCTAACTTAATGGCAAGTGCAATCTTGTGGATAAGCACAGACATTAAGTAAACATATAAATAACTAATTGATTACAATTATGATAAATTACATTAAAAAAAAAAACAAGCAAACAACAAAAATAACTTTTACAGGAGCTGAACCAAGAGCACTTAACATTGTCTGAAGGCTGGGGTTGGAGGTTAGTGAAGGAAGGCTTCTTTGAAGAAAGGACATATAAGCCCACAGCTGGGGGATGATGAAGAAGCCAGGGAAACAGCAGTTTCCTGACTTGCACCCTTAGACACTTGGTAGGAAGAGACAAGGCCAGGAAGGTGAGAAAGGTCACGGATGCTGCTGAGGTCAGCAAGGCAAATCGCTGAGGCTGCATTGAAGAGTTGTAAGCAGCCCGCTGGCATGATCTGATTTGCATTTTTAAGGGAACGTTACTGCTGCTATATATGAAACGCACTGGAGGAGGGAGAGGCTGCATTTGGATCAGGCACATGATTATTTAAAATCCCCACCCTTCACCACTCTAAAGACAATAATCTTGTTAAGTTGTATCACTTCATGGTATCCTATGCTATGATTATAGTTTTGCCTTTTACAATGTATACTACTTGGCTCTGCACTTAAAGAAGAATATGCTTCATTTTAAGCAAACTCTATGTCCAGAAAAGATAAATGGAAAAGAAATGAATAACTCAATCTTTGTAGCAAAAAAAAATTCTGTTTTAAAAACATCACTACACGTTGTCTTAGAAAATATGTTCTCTTGATGAATTTGAAATACGTTCGTTTCTCAGTAGGAGATCAAATGAGGGAGAAACTAATTTGTTACAGAAGAGTTTTCTTTTTGAGGGGTGGGATTGGGGAGAAGAAGAACTAAAGGAAGTTGTGCGTTGTGTAAATTGAAACATATCAGTCGTTTCAGTGATAGTCAAACCTCCAACAGCAGATTGTACACATTCAAGGACTCATTAGGCAAAATTCAGAGACTTAGCTCTGCCTTGATCATAAAAATCAACAGTCATCAGTGTTCTAAAGCCTGAATGTCTCATAAATACATTCAAATCAGGGAGATTTTCTTCATTCTGCTTATTTCTAATCAAACTATCAAGTACCTTGCACATACGTCTACTGGTTGTGTATAAACTATTGTGGGGAATAAAAAGAATTTTAAGACATGGTCCTTGACCTTAAGGAAGTCAAGTTAGAGATCAGTTTGCATTTACAATACAATTTGTTATCTTCCAAGATGGGTTAACAGAAGTTGGTTTGGAATGGTTTTCCATGTCATAGCAGGGTTCATTCTAGGTGGACAACCTGTTTGCAATGGGCTGACTTCAGATGTGGCACATAACATCCTTCCATCCATCTATGTCAGGTTAGCTGGAGACGCACATAAAGGCACCAAACCATGGAGACAAGGCTTTTGCTTTGCATCTTTCTTATGGAGAAAAGCAGTTGCTTTTTCTCTGTGGTTCTTTTCGCTTTGTTTTTCATGAAAGCACAGCAGGTACAACCATTTTAACTTCATTTCTGGCCGTGATCCTCTTTTGTAAACATTCCCTTAAAGTTAAAATGAAAACTACTCTTCCTTTTCCAACAATGAAAGAAGAGCAATTTGCTTTTTTTCCTGTCCTTCTCAAAACATCGAAAACACACAGCTAGGCTCTGCTAAACGCAAACACCCTCTTGACCTCCCCTTATATTATTGGGTTCCTTGGGACTTCCCAACAATTCATGTTTCTCTAAACCTTTCCTCTCGTCTCCTTGCTGAGAAATTCTACCAACTCTCTTCTTGGTAAAGCAGTGCAAAAACATTTGGATGCTTTGTTCACCACCTGGGCTCTTTTGCTTTGGGGTTCTGGGCATTTATTTTCCCCCACAGAAACTGGCAGCATCTGATTGTGTTGATCTACAGGCACAGACAGGCCTGGGAACTGAGTATGCATATCATTATGACTCAAGACACATATAAACATTCTATGTACATATTTTAGCAAGCACACTGTATTTATAATTACATCGGAATTCTTTGGCTGGAAGCAAAGATACAAACAGAGATACTTTTATAAAGCTCCTGTTTTTTTGTTAGTTTTTTTCTGCATATTCTCTCACTTTGGGCCCTAATACTAGAAACAAATAGAATTAAAAGGGAACAATGAGGATGGAATTTAAACAGAGCAAGTGATTTACCTGGCAAAGCCAACTCCTCTGCTGACTCCATTAGCGTCTCTTAGTATTCTTGTGGAAATGACATGTCCAAAGGGTTTCAGCATATTCTCAAGTTCCTGCTCATCCATAGAAATGGGGAGGTTTGAGATGTATAGGTTTGTTGGGTCTTGCTCTTGTTGCTAAGGGAAGGAAAGAAACAAATGCAGTTAAGTTCTGGATACTGAAAAACTTATTGCACAAACAGATACACTTTTGCTTAAACTGTAATCAAGATTCCATTCTCCAACATGTTCTTGAAAGTGCTTTCACTAGGGGCACTACTTTTCCCCAAATTTTCTTCTAGCTCAAAATGTTTGTCACAGAAAGAATATCTTCCAGGAAAGCCAGCTCTTTGTCCAGCCTTCCCTGGCAAAAGCTTATAAACTTGCTGCAATTTAACTAAGGTACACATACATATTCTTCTCTTTTAACACTAAAGACTACTTCTGCTACTAACACTCTTAATTACAACCAGCCCTAGTTACTAACGTTCTATTTAGTGCATGCACATAACATGCTAGGCATTGTTCTAAGCACTTACTTCATTTGATATTCCCAATAAATATTAGTTCTTATTTTAGAGATGGCAAAGTTGATTCCTAACTTGTCCAAGTTGCACAGCTGGTAAGTGTCAAAACCAGGCCTGAATGCTAGGCCTTTCATCAAAGTCCACGGTCTTGACCACTCTGCTCTACTGCCTTCCAGTAGACCAACGGTTCTCAAAGTGTGGTCCCCAGAACAGAATCATCAGCATCACTGGGAAATTGTTAGAAATGTAGATTCTCTGGCCCCATCTCAGACCTACAGAATCAGAAACTCTGTGGATGGGGCCCAGCAATCTGTTTTGACGAGCTCTACAGAGGTGATTCTGATGACCGCTCAGGGTTGAGGATCACTGCCATAGGTCACACACGAATATTACAGAGGAATGAGAGTAGGGTGTCTACATTTCCTGATTCAGTAGCAACACTGTTTAAGTAGGCTTTGTTTAATAGAATGGGGATGAAACCACAATTGCTGATATTTATAAGCGTACAGATGTTCTCTATTTTATACAGTGAATTGATAAGTTGAAAATAAGTTGTATATTTACTTCAGAATAAAAATATAGCCATAAACTTGATATGATTAAACAGCTGATATTAAAACATTATCAGATACTTAGCTGAACCATTATATTTTGATGAAAATAACAACCTTAACTTCAGAGAAAATAATGAGATTAAATTGGAAAAAGACACTCTGCAGTCCATGGGAAATTACATTATGTAATAGCAAGATACCTTTTGTGAAGAGTTGTGTTATATTATGTAGAAAATTCAAGGTTTTAGGTACAATAAAAATACACAGTAAGCAAGATCTCAAATATTAATTCAGGTTAAGGATCAATTTTGGTATGCAACTAAATTTCATTATTTTTAACACCTCTAAATGTTTAGGCAGGTCATAATATTTTTTATTAAGCTCTGAGATGAATAAATTCTATAATTAGGTTCATTTTTTAAACATAACTTAGTCTTAAATTTTCTTTTTTTATCATCATGGAAAATAGCAAAAAATAAACAGATGTAATCAATCTGAAAAAGAACTACAGCTTTTGTATTCAGGAATAATACAGAAGCAGAAACAGTACAGCTAAAGCCAGTTTCTCTCTCTCTCTCTCTCTCTCTCTCACACACACACACACACACACACACACACACACACACACATTTCACTATGGTATGACCCTAACAAGAAAAAAAGATATAATATTACCCTTCCTAAATGATTATAATCTTATTTTTTGGCTGGAATAGTGGGGGGAAAAAAAAAAAAAAGAGAGAGAGAACTTTCAGATATAGAATAAGGAACCTTATGCACATACAATTTTTAACTTTTCTAGTACTTTACTATCCATCATTTAACTTTAATCTCCACGTTGTCACTTGAAAGGTAGCTTGGCAAATATTATGACACTTACTGGATAATGAGGAAACAGAGGCATGAGAGAGTCATCACTTTGCCCAAAAACAATCCAATAATTAGTGACAGGGCTAGAATTCAATTTAGCAACCAAGTTTCTTGTCTAGCTAGCTATATTTCCCATCAGCCCAATGTTTGCTGTGCTTCAATCATTCGTATCTCATCTTAGAAATTCTTACCAGGTATGCACTATTATTTACTAAATAAGATTTCTTTCAATCAGTACACCTTTGGGGGTTAAATAAATCTATTTTAAAAGAAAACATTATGTTCCCACCATTACTGCAAAGCCAGTGTTGCTTGTCATAAACAGACAATTGCAAAAATAGCAAATAAATCAATTGTTTTGAAATTATAGGTAGATTTGTTTTTTCTTTTTTTTGCAGAGGGCTTTGAGTCTCATGGTTGACCTTCTCTTTGTTACAAAGGTGATCTGTAAGGAAGAGAGGTGTTAGAAGCACACTAGCACCACGCTGAGTTTTTCTTCTGGGAAGAAATCAGGCCTACAAGAGAACTGGGAAAGGAACAGATGTCTTATGTTGTGACTGCCAGGTCCTATACACCCAGACCTACTCAGGTTCCATGAGAGACACATGTCTCACAGCCTGCCGTAACCCAGAGCTTCCCAACGAGTGAATCACAGCATAATGCAGTTGCATAAATGGGTTGCAAAGGGTCCAGCATTCTGCAATCCTCAGCCCTCAGTCAGGCTAAACAACCACACGCAACCTTCCCCCTTACCACGGGTACTGTACAGATCTTACCATTTTCTCTGAGCAGCAGTGTACTGGTTTATCCTGATTCAAATCCATTTCCAAAGTCCCTAAGTGTGGAACGCATAGCAGTTTCTCAAAATGATATGTAATAATTACATAGAGCTTAGTAAATTAAAAAAAAAAAAATGCTCAGTAAACTATACTCATCTCTAAATCTAAATTTAAACAGCAAGGCCAACTTCTGAATTTGTACTCACAGTGACGATATAGCATTGGGTGGGATTAGTCCTTAATTTGTATTTGCAGAGAGAATATACAGTTGAGTTGTTGTTTGGTGCCATCGAGTCAGTTCCAATTCATTGTGACCCTATGACAACAGAACAAAACATAGTTGCAGCCACTGTGTCAATCCATCTCATTGAGGGTCTTCCTCTTTCTCACTGACCTTCCACTTTACCAAGCATGATATCCTTCTCCAGGGACTGGTTCCTCATGATAATATGTCCAAAGTACATGAGACAAAGTCTTACCATCCTTGCTTCAAAGGAGCATTCTGGCTGTACTTCTTCTAAGACAGACTTCTTTGTTCTTCTGGCAGTCCATGGCATATTCAATATTCTTTGTCAACACTATAATTTAAAGGCATCAATTCTTCTTTGGTCTCCCTTATTCATTGTCCTGCTCTTGCATACATGTGAGGTGACTGAAAACACCACAGTTTGGGTTAGGCTCACCTTAGAACTCAAAATGACATCTTTGCTTTTCAACACTTTGAAGAGGTCTTTTGCAACAGATTTGCCCAATGCAATACGTCATTTGCTTTCTTGACTCCCTGCTTCCATGGGTGTTGATTGCTGATCCAAGTAAAATGAAATCCTTGACAACTTCAATCTTTTCTCCGTTTATCGTGATGTTGCTTACTGGTCCAGTTGTGAGGATTTTTGTTTTCTTTATGTTGAGGTGTAATCCATACTGAAGGCCATGGTCTTTGAACTTCATCAGTAAGTGCTTCAGGTCCTCTTCACTTTCAGCAAGCAAGGTTGTGTCATCTGCATATCAAAGGTTGTTAATGAGCCTTCCACCAATCCTGCTGGTCTTTTCTCTCTTCATACAGTCCAGCTTCTCAGATTATTAGCTCAGCATACAAACTGAAGAAGTATAGTGAAAGGATACAACCCTGACACACACCTTTCCTGATTTTAAACCATGAAGTATCCCCTTGTTCTGTTAAAATGACTGCTTCTTGGTCTATACACACATTCCGCATGAGCACAATGAAATGTTCTGGAATTTCCATTCTTGGTAATGTTATCCACAATTTCTTATGACCCACACAGTCGGATACCTTTGTATAGTCAATAAAACACAGGTAAACATCTTTCTGGTATTCTTAGCTTTCAGCCAACATCCATCTGACAGCAGCAATGATATCCTTCGTTCCATGTCCTCCTCTGAATCCGACTTGAATTTCTGGCAGTTCCCTGTCAATGTACTGCTGCAACCATTTTTGAATTATCTTCAGCAACATTTTACTTGTGTGTGATATTAATGATACTGTTCAATAATTTCTGCATTCTGTTGGATCACCTTTCTTTGGAATGGGCACAAATATGGATCTCTTTCAGTGGGTTGGCCAGGTAGCTGTGTTCCAAATTTCTTGGCATAGACAAGTGAGCACCTCCAGTGCTGCATTCATTTGCTGAAACATCTCAGCTGGTGTTCTGTCTATCCCTGGAGTCTTGTCTTTTGCCAATGCCTTCAGTGCAGCTTGGACTTCTTTTAGTACCATCAGTTCTTGATCATATGCTACCTCCTGAAATGGTTGAACACTGACCAATTCTTTATGGCACAGTGACTCTGTGTATTCTTTCCATCTTCTTTTGATGCTTCCTGCATCGTTCAATATTTTCCACGTAGAATCCTTCAAAATTGCAACTCGAGGCTTGAATGTTTCCTTCAGTTCTTTCAGCTTGAGAAATGCCAAGCGTGTTCTTTCCTTTTGTTTTTCTAACTCCAGGTCTTTCTACACTTCATTATAATACTTTCTTTGTCTTCTCAAAACAACCTTTGAAATCTTCCATTCAGTTCTTTTAGCTCATCATTTCTTCCATTCGCTTTAGCTACTCTACATTCAAGAGTAAGTTTCAGAGGCTCTTCCAACATCCATGTTGGTCTTTTTTTCTTTCCTGTCTTTTTAATGACCTTTTGTTTTCTTCGTGTATGCTGTCCTTGATGTCGTCCTACAACTTGTTTGGTCTTCAGTCATTAGTGCTCAAAGCATCAAATGCATTCTTGAGATGGTCTCCAAATTCAAGTGGGATATACCCAAAGTCATATTTTGGTTCTCATGGACTTGTTTTAATTATCTTCAGCTTCAACTTAAACTTGCCTATGAGCAATGGATGGTCTGCTCCACAGTTGGCCCCCGGCCTTGTTCTAACTAATGATACTGAGCTTTT